GTATAACTTAGTTTCTATGGTGAATGAAAAGAGAAAAATTGAGAGCTATTGCAAAGATCAAGATAATCATTCTCAGTTTCAGGGCTCTCAAGGCCCTCTTTACTTTTTTCCCTGATTATCTTGGAGATACCAACCATTGTAAATAATCAGGTCTTGAAATTTCTTGATGGCAAAGCTACAATCAGCAAACAAAGCATAAAGTGTGACTGCCCACAAGAGAACAGAATGGAATGGAAGGAAAGGTATTAGAGAGATTAAACAAAGAAAAGAACGGATAAGCAGGAAGAGTTCCAACTTAAACCATGTTCACAATCATCCAGGGCTAATATTCTATCTGCCCATGGATAGAGAACTGATATGAATTTCTAGGTCATACTGGTCAGGGTAATATGGGAGTCAAAAACCCAAGATAATGATTAAGACCTGGGTACTTAAGGAAGAAATAGTCATACTCCCAAAGCCAACACAGAAGTTCCTATTTTGGGAATTTAAAGTCTCATACTCTGGTCAGAATAGCATTCTTTAAATTTATAAGCATTCAGGGCACCGGGATGGCTCAGTTGGTTAAGTGTCTGCCTTTGGTTCAGGTCATGATCCCAGGGTCCTGGGACCCAACTCCATGTTGGACCACCTGGACACCTGGAGGGGTGAGTATGTGTGTATCTGCTCCTCCCTCTCCTGCTGTCCTTCTTCCTGCTTGTGCTCTCTCAAATGAATAAATAAAAATCTTTTAAAAAATAAACATAAATAAATAAATCCATAAGTACTCATTCCTCCCAAAAAATTTCACCCATTTTTAAAAAAGATTAATTAGAATGAGAGTGCAAGTGCCTGGGGGTGGGGAGGAACAGAAAAAGAGAGAGAGAGAGAGAGAGAGAGAGAGAGAGAGAGAGAGAGAGAGAGAGAGGATGAGCAGGAAACCCAAGCAGACTCTGGGCTGAGTGGGGAGCCACAACTCTGATCATGACCTGAGCCAAAATCAAGGGTGGGAGGCTTAACCAACTATGTCATCCAGGCACTCCTCATCCATTTTATAAGCACTAATTAATTCCTTGAACAAACCTAAGTCACCTGGGCTTTTTTTTTTTTTTAAGTATTTTTTGTCATGATACCCAAATATTTTGCAAATCACCAGCCTGTGATGAATGATAACAGATAAACACTAGTGAGTAAAAACAACGATTATCTTATTTTGGTCACTGGGTGTGCTTCTGGTATGAAAGGTTGTTTATTTACAATGCCACATCACCTAGGTTCTGAAGAGTGGCATATAAGCTCTGGCTGTTTAAATATTAACTACTGATGAATCACATTTGCAGCTGGAACTCACTCTAGAAAAATAGGGAGAGAAATATTTGTGCTGGTAAGTTAGGACGGGGTGTTCATGCTCACATTTATAAGACACAGTAAAGTCTTGTCTACTTTCTTGTCAAATGATTTACTTTCAAAATAAATTTCCTTTTTTGGCCAACCCCCAGGAAATATTTTTTTTCCCCCAGGAAATATTTTTATTAACTTGGCAAAATCTAAAAAGACATGCTTATCAAATCTTCCTAACTTTTTTCTTCACCAAAATACTTCCTAACTGCCTACCATGTGAAAGACCTATGTCGAGCCTTGAAATAAACTTAAGACACAAGGGAGAAGCCTTGTTTTCTAGAACTTATGGTATCATTGCAGGGCTGGGGGTGGGGTGGGGAGATGCAATTACAATTAAAGAACGTTCAATACATGATCACCGGAAGAAAATCAGTATTGAAAAAAAAATCCCAATGTGGAATTTAAAGAGGTTTATTAGGTACTCAAAATCAATAATATACCACAAAATACAGAAAGCCTGTGTTGATGGCAACTTATATAAAAACAACGTACAGAAACAAAAAAAAGATGTACAGGTTTCAGCTGAGTAAAACTATAAAAGCATAAAAATCAACTAGTGAAATGGTTAAGAGAGCTACTCTAAATTAATAGAAATATTGTGTCCAGACCAAGAAAGATAATAATCCCACTATGTCCATATCCAGAATTAGTGGTTCTCTTTTATGAGGCTCATTTAAAAGGAACATAACTAGGAGAGAGGGAATGAGAGCATGTATTCATGCTTGACAGTGGTGCAATGATAATGAAGTGTTTGTAAAACATATATCAGAAAGACTGATGAGCTGAAGACATTTGACTTGAAAGAAGACTGGAGGTGAATGGTGAAGGGGGAAGCATGTAACAGTTTTGATGCCTCTGAGCTAGTAACAGAGAGCTTAACTGTGCTCCATGGAAATAAAGACAGATTTTGGCCCTATATAATTTTCAATGCCCTGGGCTTTCCAACACTGAACTATGTTGTAGAACAGTGGTAAATTCTACAGTAAGTAGTAGACAAGCAGAGATGACCATTTGTTATGGAGGAGGGGGCAGCCAGTGTGGCTCAGCGGTTTAGTGCCGCTTTCAGCCCAGGGTGTGATCCTGGAGACCCGGGATCGAGTCCCACGTCAGGCTCCCTGCATGGAGGCTGCTTCTCCCTCTGCTTGTGTCTCTGCCTCATTCTCTCTCTCTCTCTCATAAATAAATAAAATCTTAAAAAAAAAAAAAAACTCTAGGAGCAATTCTTGCATTGGGCAGAAATTTGTAACAGATTTCTAAAGCTCTTCCTATCTTATTAGAAAAGCTTGTGGCTACCTTTTTAGCTGCAGGTAAGAATACTGAAAAAATGACACCCACCACAGGTACTTTTAAGTGAATGATCTCAAAAAGCAGAAAATGAGTCAGAAATCACCAATGAACTTCATGTAAGACCTAGAAGGCTTTGTGACTTTGAGATGATTGCCAGAAATACTGGGAGGGAGACCAATGGTGGCCAATAGCTGGCCTGACCACTCAAACAGAGCTTTTGCTATTCCTACTAGGCTCAGAGGTTGTAGTAGTTTTTCTTTGCTGCTTTAAGTGAAAGGCAATTTTTTTTTAAGTCCCCTTTCCTCCAAAACTCTCCCTAATTAATCCTTTTCAGCACATGGAGAATGTCAAAACGTCAAGAATCTGAAATATTCTTCCTGTATTCGGGAAGAGTAAAAACCCAGCAGCACAGATGCTATTCCTACCTGATAGGTTCATGAAATTTTTGGCTACATATTGAAAAGAGAAGACTGGCCTGATCTGGGAGGTCAACTGGAAAGGGCTCACAGAGGAAATCCTGCACAATGGCCTGGTCAACATCCTTAGGCCCCCTCAAACTTCTATTTTTTTTTAATAAATTAATTTTTTATTGGTGTTCAATTTACCAACATACAGAATAACACCCAGTGCTCATCCCGTCAAGTGTCCCCCTCAGTGCCCGTCACCCACTCACCCCCACCCCCCTCAAACTTCTAAGTTGGGCTGCATCTAGCATGTTTTTACTTGAGCCTTAGATTTGTGAAAATGTATAAACATTTATCATAAGCGAGCTGTGAGAACTGTCACCCTGAAATTTATAAAAAAACAGAAACCACGTAATAGCCAACTTTAAAAATTTAGTTCTGGGAAGAAAAGACTCAAGTTACACGAAAGTCCTATGAACTCAGTTGCCAATATTAAATCCTATGCCTGGAACTCTCCATATTTAAGGATATAATCAATGAACAAACGTGTGCTGAGAGTCTATTGTAAGAACCCATTTTAGGTTCAATGGAAGGCAGATCTTGGCCTTCCTAGGTTATGACTATGGCTGATTATTGCCACAATCAGGATATAAGACCACCTGACCACCTGAATAATACTGTGTGGCTCTTAGAGAATTCTATATATACTAGGAAGTGAAACTCGAATTTTCTTTTTCAAGATTTTATTTATGAGAGAGAGAGAGAGAGAGAGAGAGAGAGAGAGAGAGAGAGAGAGAGAGGCAGGCAGAGGGGAAGCAGATTCCATGAGGGAGCCTGATGTGGGACTCAATTCTGGGACTCCAGGATCACATGCTGAGCTGAAGGCAGACGCCTAACCGCTGAGCCACCCAGGTGCCCTCAAATTCTTTCAATAGTACTTCCAATAGTGGTGCTTGAAATAAAAACATGTTTCATTCATTCACATAAAACTGCCACATTGAAGAAGGCACAGAGCTAAGGAATGTTTACTAATGTCAAGCAATGAAACCAGTGCTAACAGTTTTATCTTTTGCAAGAGGTATCCAATAGGTATAATCTCCTTAGGGTTGCTAACATTCACATAGTCAAGATATTTTTCTGGAAGCCAGTAAGATATTTCAGAAATTAGACCTTTTAGGTAAAAAATAGGCATGTTTTAAAACATTATAAATTTAAAAATCCTCAAAGGTCAAAGGTTATTACAACATAAGATAGGTCTTCCAAATTCAGAGGACAATAGACAAAATGAGTGATGGTATTTTAGAATGTGTATTTTAGTATGTTTTTAAAACGAATATATAAGGACACCTGGGTGCCTCAATTGGTTAAGTGTCTGCCTTTGGCTGAGGTCATGATCCCAGAGTCCTGGGATCAAGTCCCACATTGGGCTCCCAGCTTAGTAGGGAGCCTACTTCTCCCCCTGCCTGCTCTGCTCCCCCTGCTTGTGCATTCTTGGTCTCTGATAAATAAAATCTTTAAAAAAATTTTTTTAATTAAAAAAAAAAGATATATAGTCTCAATATGATAAAATATTGCTTGTAAATTACCACCCCCTCCTCCTTTCTTTTGGTATAAAGAAATGAAAAGAGAATGAAACTACCAAAAAAAGCAATACCCCATACAATGTGTATTTCAGGTGGATAAAAGTATTCAAAGGCTGGTTTATGGGCATGGTCGTGGCACATCACAGATCCCCAATCAACTGCCCCTCCAGGAGCAGAGAGCAAGTAGCTTTAGGTGACTATATTTATTTACCTACCCAGCAGAAGCAGCGGAGAGATATATGGTCTGGTAAAAAAAGGTCAACTAGACAAGAAAGTCTGCATACTTTTGGGCTTTCAGCTAAGCTATATGCTAACTATGTACACAGAGAAAACAGACTTGACTTACCTGCACTGCCGAGCTGTTTATAAAACCTGTACTCTAAATGAAGCTGTGGAGCACGTGATTTTATTGGTTCCTGAAACCCAAGAAGAGAAATTGTGATCAGATTTAGACAAATAAAATTTACCATTCCTAGGTTTTCAAAGTCAACTAGAGCTAAGACCACCTAATATTTTAGAGATATGTAATACATTTTCTTACTACAATTTCTCTTTGAAAGCACAGCTATGGGAAGATGAAGCTGAAGTATATACAATCCCTTCCACAGATATTTAAGTACAAATACTGTGTATGAGCCATCATTCAAGGATAGCTCCCTCACCAAGAGGTATTCTCCTGGAACATATTCTTCTAAGAAACCAGATGCCAAACCTCTGAATTCGATACCAGCATGAAAAAAAATTAAATAAATAAATACCAGCATGTATTCCCTGCTTGTTTTATTATGAATTTTGGGTGATAAACAATATTGTTTTTAGAAAAATGATACATGCTCAGAAAAAAAATTTCAAATACACAAAAATTAGGAAGAGACTAAAAATAATCTAAGATCCTACCATTTTAAAAAAAAGCACTATTAACATTTTGGTGAATGTCCTCCCAAATATTTATTGATACATATATTTAGATATAATACACACTTGAAAATATATTTAAAATACACAAGACATTATATTTCCTCTTTTAAGTGTGTCTTTAAACTCAACAAGTAATGATGACATCTTTCCATGTCAGTAAATAGCTGTATTTTTTTTTTTTTTTTAAGTAGGCCTCATGACCAACATAGGGCCTGAACTCATGACCCTGAGATCAAGAATCGTATGCTCTATTGACTGAGCCAGCCAGGTGCCCCAGAAAGCTTTATATAGATTTTAATGGCTGTAGTATTCCCCCTGAGTGTCTGTGTGTGTATGCACACCCATATACCATAATTTTAGGACATTTTGACTGTTTTCAGTTTTTATTATTATGAATAATGCTGTAGGAACATTGTATGTATATTTATTTTTACACTTAAGAAAATTGAAGACTGTAAATGAAATTAAAATATGTATGTTAAAAAAGTAAAATATGTATCTTTAATCAATATGATGCTCGAGTTTGCAAAAATAGTGTTTTCTAAAGACCCTGGAGATAAAACAGCCAAACTACTACATTTTGTACTACATTGAACTTAACCAGCCAGTTAATTATTCTGAACTGACAGCATACTGGGCAACTAGTTAACAAGAAAATTAAACATCACCCTGGAAAGTAGATCCATGTACTCATTAGGATAGCTATTATCAAGATCACAGAAAATAAGTGTTCATGAGGATGTAGAGAAATTGGAGCCCTTGTTCATTGCTGGTGGGGATGTGAAATGGTACAGCTATTATGGAAAATGATATGGCCGTTTCTCAAAAAATTAAACAGCATTACCACATGATCTAACAATTTTACTTCTGGGTATATACCTCAAAAAACTGAAAGCAAATACCAAGCTGGTATTTGTACACCCATGTTAATAATGGGTATATATGAATAAACAAAATGTGATTACATTTTCCTGCACACACACACACACACACACACACACACACACACATACACACACAGAATATTACTCAGCCATAAAAATGAAAGACATTTGAACACATACTACAACATGGATGAACCTGAAGACATTATGCTAAGCAGAAATAAGCTAGACACAAAAGTCACAAAAGTCAAATACTGCATGATTCACTTATTTGAGGGATCTAGAGTAGTCAGGTTCACAGAGAAAGTTAAATGGTGGTTGCCAGGGGCTATGAGGGAGGAAATGGAAAGTCAGTGTTTCAGCTGAGGAAGATGAAAAAGTTCTGGAGAAGGATGATGGCAATGATTGCACAACAATGTGAATGTATTTAATGCCACAGAGCTGTACACTTATAAATGGGTTAAAATGGAAAATTCTAGATACAATTCTTTATCAGATATATGTTTTTAAATTTTCTCTCCCATTCCATGGGTTGTATTTTCACTGTATTCAGAGTCCTTTGATACACAGTTTTTTATTTTTATAAAGTTCAATTAATCTCTTTTCTTGCTTGTGCTTTTTATGTCATCTCTAAAAAATCACTGCCAAATCCAATCTCGTGAAGCTTTTCCCCTAAGTTTTCTTCTAAGAGATTTATAGTTTTGGCTCTTATATTTAGGTCTTTGATCCACTTTGAGTTAAATTTTTATGTATAACATAACATAAGTGTTCAACTTTAATGCACATGGATATCCGGTTTTCCAAACAACATTTGTGGAAAACAGTCTTTTCTCCAGCGAATGGTCACTTGGCCCTTTTAAAAGATAGGCTCAGAAGAAGGAGATCCCCCAGTTTCCCTTGATAATTCATGCTAATGTTAAACACATTTCATGATTTCAAAGGTCTTTATATGTAGTTTAAATCTCCATGACTGAAACTAAGCCTATTTCTCCTTTGTCCTCGACAAAATAAAATAGCTCTTCAATAAACTCTGAACACTATAACAACTATCTTCAAATAACAAAACTATTCAATCATTTCTTAGACTATTAGGCAAAGACTTAAGACTATTAGACTATTAGAAATAGACTAAGTCTATTTCTTAGACTATTCAATTCCTTTATTCAGACAATGTAATTTCAATTCCTTTAAACTTTCCTCACTGGTCCTATTTTTTAGTTCTTTGATCATCTTTGAAGGCTCTTCCTGTACTTGTTTTCTGACATTTTTCTTAAAATCTAGAATCCATAAATCACAGAATTCAGAAGTTTCCTTGAAGTTAATCTAGTCTATCCCTTTGCTTCTAGGAAGCTTTTATCTAAATCAATTCAGGCAGGCTGAAATAGTTCACATCTCTACTGAGTTCTATGAAAGAATTCATATTTTTCTTTGATTATAAAATCAGCACAGTTGAACTTCAAGCTTCTCAAGATTCTTGTAATCAAAAGTACATAAGACTAATTACACTGTAAAGTCACTTCTTTATTCATTTATGTCCTCAATTGAGAAAGATCACTCTTGAGAGTCTCCATTTGGTTTTAGATCTTCCACTATAGTACCGTTAAAGCAGTCAATTATGGAATTTGTCCTTCAGAAAAATCCCTAATAAGTCACAAGGAACCAAACAGAAACAGGATAACAAGTTAATATGGAAGCAGAAGTTGATCTTTCTGGAGGTTTTTCTGGAGAAGAGTCTTTGGATTCTGACAAGCCCCAAGGAGCAATGAAGGAAAAAGTCACAGATCCTTCTTCAAATATAATACTCTAAAACTTCACAGTGAATATCTTAATAGAAAATACTAAAATCTGATGTTGGGTAACTAAGCTAGCAGATTAAAAAAAAGTAAAAACTCTTTAGAGTTACAAGGTTGAAAGTGAACATACATGTCAAATGTATTCAGACACGAGGAGCTTTTTATCACAGATGATAGGATTAATATCCTTTAGGCCAATTCCTTTAACATATAGTTAAAGTCTGCTCACACAATTACAGCTTCAAGGTGCTCTTCTGGAAGCACTATGAATAAAGGACATTATAAACACTGAGTCTACATCTTGTGGAAGGCAGCAAAATTAGCAACATGGAGAGATTCTTTTTCTAACAATTGTTACAAACTTCTTTTAAAAAGAGCCTGAGAAATCTCAGTGATGGGGTAAAGGAAGGGTTCATTATACTATTTTATGTTGTATATGATTTTTTAAAAAGGTTCCTAAAAATCTAAGAAACAAGAGCCCACAACGAAGATCCAAAGTAGAAGGAAAAAAGTACCAGCAGGCCTTCCTTGTATTTCTGTGCCAGATGCCGATTACATTTCCACAGAGGGCTGGCTATTTGCCAGAATCACGGTTATTCTGGAACACACATGTCTGCCTGAAATCCTAAACCGACAGCAGACGGCTACCTTGTAGGACTATAATGCTTAAGGCAAATTTTGCTGTTACAACAAAAAGAGCTCAATTACTGCCCTCCTATCTCCCATGGAGAACACAGACCGACAGCAAAAGAGGCAGCCCGTAGACAAGATTGTTATCCTATAAAAAGCCTTTATTTAAGATTTATTTGAAAGAGAAATGAGCTCCTGAGATACACCATACTAGATGACATGAGGTCTATTTTTAGCTTTCACTCTTGGCCATACAAAGTAGAATAAAGTTTAACAAACTGTAAGTGAAACGCAGTGATCCATCATGTCAATAATATATAGTAAGCTTATCTAGTAAGGTTAACTAGTATGAACTTGGAAGAAGAAATCTAGGTAGAAAAAACTGCCCCTAACAAAAAACCTCAAGAGAAGTCTTGATAAATAAAAGGACAAAGACCAATATACAGTGTTGAGACAGTATTTTAAAGAGTTTCAGGAGCTACTTCTTCCTGTTACTAGTCCAACTTACCAAAGTAGTAAAACAGGAAAAGTAAAAAAGCAGATAAACTAGGGAACACTTTTACGGAACCAAATTCCTATAAATAAAGAATATGGTAATCCTTTGATATTCAATCTTAGAAAATATTTGGCTTGCATTGTTACATGCATTACCTGTCCTCCTGTTCCCATTTCTCCAACAAGAGTTCCAAGTTAACAAACAAAAGAAAACACTTAGTTCCCTAGCAGCTACCTGCTCTCAGCCCTGCTTCCTGTCCATGTCTTTGTAGAGAGAAACCAATCTGATAACTGTCTGACAGTTGTCTTCATAAGACAACTCTGACTTTTCCACAAACTGACAAGCTCAATCCACACCCAGAACAGGTGTAGATGTGGTAAGTGCAATTCGTTAGAAAAGAACAGCATTATGACAATTATCACAAGATACTTCCTTCAATCATTAACTCCTCTGTCTTCCAACTAATAAAGCCCCAAACTGCTTTAAATCCTGGGAAACTTACTAGAAAGACAAACATTTACACAGTTTCATAGAAACGAGTCATATGACATATTTCATATGACTAGAAATGATTTTGTATTGATGTTAAATATAAGATAAAGAATTTTCTTCTAAAATTACTCTTCCTTAAAAATAATATATATCTTGATAGGATGCTATCTTTAATGACCATGTTAGTTATTCATAAGATTAGTACTGACAAAAGTCAATTTTTTGTTTCAAATTTGACCACAAGATGTGTTTTTCATATTTGACAACTTTTTAAGGCAATGATTTGATGGATCAGATTTGGTTCTCTACTAAAAGTATATTAATACATACCTTACATTTAAAAACTGGATTAGTAAAAAAAATAAAAATAAAAAAAAAAAAAACTGGATTAGTCACAGTTAAGCAAAAGAAAATGATAAAATTTCCAACAGCTTTATCTTTCAAAAAATAGCACTCTGAAAGGTACAAACTTCACAGAAATTACTAGTCTCCCAACAATTGTTTTTCTTCCAGCTATCTTTTTAATAACTATTTTTAATTTTTTAATAACTATTTTTTGATTCATTGTTGCTGAAACTATAATTAACATCATCTGACTATATAGCTTTAGACTATATAGCAGTGATGAATCACTGTAACACTATATATATATAGTTGAGGGAAAGTGACTGTGGGATCATATGCAAAGGAAAAAAACATTAGTATTCCTGTGAATCCTTACAACTATTTCCTGTAAAAAGATGTGAGGGATGAGAGTACCAAAACATAATTACCACAAATATAAATTCTACTCACCAGTTTGATAGCTACATATTCATTGGTGTAGAGATTTTTACCTAGGGGAAAAGCAGAATGTATATGTTTTAGTGACATTTATTTTGGGAAATGCAAAGCAAAATCTTAGCTTACAGGGTCATGAGAAAGGTCACATTCCCAAAGCTATTCACATATATGAAACATGATTTATAAGTGAAAAGCTAAACAGAGATAATTAGACCCAGTAAGACAAGAATAGAAATCACTTGAGAATTTGGAAATTTAAGTTAGACGTGAGAACTTAAAAAAAAAGAAAACAAACCTCTTTTCTCTCTCACACATTTTGTTATTATTTCCCAACTATTAAACCATGAAGCAAACCAAGAAGTCCCAGAATATCAAATACACAAATTTTAACTTTGGCACAACAGACACAAACCCTCACTTTTTTTTTTCCCCCAAACCCTCACTTTTAAACTAACAAATGGAGATTATATATTACTTGTCATGGTATTTAGTGTTGACTTGGCAAAAAGGACAATGTGAAATAAACCCAATTACTGTCGTACCCTCCTTCTGGAAAACTCGTCTAATGTCTGTAAGTAGATGATTCTCAAAGCTGTTGTGATTCTTCACCAGAACTCTAGCTCTTTAACTATGAGCAGGAAACAGCTCTCCGCCTGCATACTTAGATGTCTTAAAGTTCTTTCTGCAATAGTAACGATTTTTTCCTCTCAACTTCTCTACCTGTATAAATGGAATCAATATTCTCCTAGACATCTAAAGTAAGTACCCAGAGTGAAGATGAGGATGAAAGCAGCATTTAACCACTTGGTAAACCCACACTCCAAACCAGGTACTTATCTTCCCTAACCTGTCCATGTCTACTGATTCTTGAAAGCTAATTTTAATTCCTCCTGAGTGGTTGTTTAGTCACTGCACTGGACTTCACGTTTCTTCTTCTTATATATTTGTCCTATCTTAATCAGCTAGACTATAAATATCTTGAGGATAGGAATTTTATCTAATGGTTCTCTCAATGTCTTATGGGGCTTAAGACTCTGTTCTGCACATCTCAAAGACACCCAAAACCTTGACTGATGAAGTTATTGGCACATATAATTACTTTTTTAAAGTAATACATAGTAGTAAATGTTATATTTATACATACACATACATGTACATAGCTGCCTATATATGTATATGGAAAAGGATATAGAAAGATGTACATTAAGGCATTAAAATGACTGTCTCTTAGTATTTCCTGATTTTTATATACTATAGTTTGCTTTTATAAATGAACAGAAAGCTGCTTGCAATTTATGTTCCTATTTTAATTAATTTTTTTAAGATTTTTATTTATTCATAAAAGACACACAGAGGGAGAGAGAGAGAGGCAGAGATACAGGCAGAGGGAGAAACAGGCTCCATGCAGGAAGCCCGACGTGGGACTCGATCCCGGGACTCCAAGATCACGCCCTGGGCCAAAAGCAGGCACTAAACCACTGAGCCACCCAGGGATTCCCTTAATTAAATTAATTAATTTTTAAAGATTTTATTTATTAATTAATGAGACAGAGAGAGAGAGAGAGAAAGAGAGAGAGAGAGAGAGAGAAGGGCGGCAGAGACACAGGCAGAGGGAGGAGAAGCAGGCTCCAAGCAGGGAGCCCGATGCAGGACTCGATAAGGGGTCTCCAGGAGCAGGCCCTGGGCTGAAGGCGGCGCTAAACCGGTGAGGGCTGCCCTATGTTCCTATTTTAACCAGGATCTAGACAACAGATGGCCCCTTGCAAATCATACCATTATATTTTTAATACCGCTATCAGGTTGCCAAGCACCTTTATGTGTCAAAGAGTACACTACTTTAGGAATAACTTTTGTCTGCAAATAACAATAAAGAGGACTCACAGATTGCCAGAGAAATACTTAAGAAACCATTGTAAGATGAACAACTTCTTTGAACAACTTCTTTTTTAAAGAAGCAAAAGTAGAAAACAGGTATTTTTTTCTCTATATATTAATTGCATTAAGCGCTTAAAAATTGGTGTTCCTGATTAATCCTCTCACCGAAAACATTTTTTAATAGATTTTATTTATTTATTTATTTGATAGAGAGTATGCACACACCAGAGAGCTCGAGCAGGGGGAGGGGTAAGGGGAAGAGGAAGGGCAGAGAAAGCAGCAGACTCTCCGCAGAGCAGGGAGTCCAACATGGGGCTCAATCAGTGGACCCTGTAATCATGACCTGGGCCGAAGGCAGACACTTAACCAACTGAGCCACCCAGGCGCCCCACTAAAAACATTTTAAAAAATCTATTTGATGAGATTGTGAAAAGGATACTAATAACAGGGAGAGGAGAGTTGAGGTAGAAACAGCCAATAGAAGCAGATTAAAACCCAATAGAGGCAGGGCATCTCATACCTGTGTAAATTCCTTTGCATGTATAAAATTAAATTTGATTTTCTCCTGTTTAAAAAAACTCCAACTTGGCCACAGACTTATCTTATCCCCATATCAGATATAATACCGCATAAAGATTTTTCAGGACAGTCCTTCCTGGCACAGTATAAGCACTATTATTGTGACCCCAAACCAATTTTGGTACAAAGCTAACCCTAAGAACTTAGTATCTCTTAAAGGAAAATGGTCAAGTTTAAAATTGTAAACCCGTTTGGAAGTCTTTCAGAATTGGACACCACCACCCTACCCAGTCAATTTTTCAGCAGTAAGAATTCCTACGGGGCGGGTAGAGGCAGCAGAATTCACCCCTTACTCATTTAAAGTATAACATGCCTTTACTGTCAAAAAATTAACTTAACCAACCTTTGAAGTACATGCTTAATGTAATAGATCTTCAATTCAACTGATACAATATTAAAGTGAAGAAAGGTGCTTGTGTAAGTATAACGGAGTACTAAGCCTAGATTCTGATCTGTGAGCAAGAAAACAGAGGAGGGCAGCCCGGGTGGCTCAGCGGTTTAGCGCCACCTTCAGCCCAGGGTGTGATCCTGGAGACCCGGGATCGAGTCCCACGTCGGGCTTCCTGCGTGGAGCCTGCTTCTCCCTCTGCCTGTGTCTCTGCCTCTCTCTCTCTCTCTCTCTCTCTCTCTCTCTGTCTCTCATGAATAAATAAATAAAATCTTAAAAAAAGAAAACAGAGAAGGCAAATCAGGAGCTCTCAGGGAAGAAATTTTCTTTCTTTCTTCCAATTACTTCCCAACTACCCACCTCTGCCCAGAATCTTTAAAAATGAGTAGGATTTTAATATATGAAGGGGAAAAGGCATCCCAAGGCAAAGAAACTGTATGAACAAACAGAAAAGTGGCAAAGTAGATGGTACAGTCTAAGAATGATAGGTGGTCTGGGAATAGATGGACTATAAATTCTATCATGAGGATCAGGAAAGGGTAGAAATAGGCAAAGAATGGTTAGAGTAGCAAAAGAGACTAGAAAAGCAAGGCTCAGGACTTTTTTTTTTAATTTTTTTTAAATTTTTTTATTTATTTATGATAGTCACAGAGAGAGAGAGAGAGAGAGAGAGAGAGAGAGAGAGAGAGAGAGGCAGAGACACAGGCAGAGGGAGAAGCAGGCTCCATGCAGGGAGCCCGATGTGGGATTCGATCCCGGGTCTCCAGGATCGCGCCCTGGGCCAAAGGCAGGTGCCAAACCGCTGCACCACCCAGGGATCCCCAAGGCTCAGGACTTTTAAGAAATGTCCTCAATGCCATCTTAAAGTTTAAAACAAAAGGTTTTAAAGTAGCATAGTGACATAATCAGATCTGTGATTCTAAATAACAATTTGTGAGGAAGCATAAACAGTGAGTCAGAAAAATAAGAGACCAGGGGCACCTGGGTGGTGCAGTCGGTTAAGCCACCAACTCTTGTGTTGGCTTCAGGTCATGATCTCAGGGTTTTGAGATCGAGCCCCACATTAGGTGCTGTGCTCAGCGCAGTCTGCTTAAGACTCTCCCTCTGGGGATCCCTGGGTGGCTCAGTGGTTTAGCGCCTGCCTTCAGCCCAGGGCATGATCCTGGAGACCCGGGCTCGAGTCCCATGTCAGGCTCCCTGCATGGAGCCTGCTTCTCCCTCTGTCTGTATCTTTGCCTCTCTCTGTGCGTCTATCATGAATAAATAAATAAAATCTTAAAAAAAAAAAAAAGACTTTCCCTCTGTCCTTCCCCTCCACGCTCTCTAAAATAAATAAAAAATCTTTTTTAAAAAGAAGAAAAATAAGAGACCAGAGGCAGCAGAAATTGTTTGAACATTTAATATCCATCTTATGCAGATTATCAGACATCTAAGATGAGCAACACTTAGTTTTTACCCCGAAGAGACTGTATTCTAGCTCCTCACACAGACCCTTGCACAGGCAGCTCAATTTTTAAATTATTAATCACATACTGTGATGAATTAAAAGAGGAATATGAACAAGTCAAGTTGGCACTCGAGGGGAGCCTTGAAGGACAAACAAGAGGAGACAATAAAGGATATTTCCTAGTGTATAAAAAAATACTAACTTGAATAGTGAGGTGGAAACAGGATAGAAAATGCAAAGAATCTGATTTACTGCAGGTGGACCAATATGAATGAAGCACAAAGTATACGGAGAGAAATGGTGAGGAGTAAAGCCAGAAAGATCCAGTAGGGACAGAGTGTGAATAACCTTAAATGCCAGGTCTTACTCTGAGGTATGCACAACCATGCATACATGGAGATGTGTCAGGGCATACGCTACACAAATAAGACATGCTTTTCCTAGATCCTCACTTTTCTTTGAAGATTTGGGAAAAATCTTTTTTTATAGTAAAACAAACTTATTATAGAAACTGCACAGATTTCGTTTGAAGAAAAAAAAAATGCAAGAGTTTAAAGAAATCCCAGGCACTTATGTATATATGCTTCTTGCAGAGTCGAGGGAGTCTCAGCAATCAGTCAGGAAGCTTTTTCTCATTTTCCCTGTGTTCTGCTAGGTGGCCCAGTTTTCACAATGCACTTCACTTTCTACAGGGTGAACCTTCCATCTCCTGTGAGCCAGGTGATACCAGGGAGGGAGGTGATTTAGTCATCCAACTGCTTCAT